AGTGGCATATTGACAATGGGGGAGAATTCATGGGGATGGGAATGGAAGAATTTCTCGCGGAACAAGGAATTCTAGTGGAGAAGGGTGCTCCATATGCTCACCAGCAGAATGGGCATGCCGAGCGCTTCAATCGTACGATCATGGATAAGGCAGAAGCCATGCGCTTCACTGCCTGTCTTCCTAATTCTTATTGGGAATTCGCTATCAAACATGCGACACGGATCTACAATATGACACCTATCAGGCGTCTAAAATGGAAAACTCCATTTGAAGCTCTTCACAAGGAAAAACCGGATGTTTCCGAACTCCGAGTCTTTGGTTGCGCTGCATATGTCTTTATCCCTGATGAGAAGCGCGCCAACAAGTTATCGCCCAAATCGGAGCTGATGACCTACTTGGGCATTCCTGATGGTGTGAAAGGATTTTTGTTCATGCGCACAAACAATTCCACGTTCGTAGCCACCAAGGCATTGTTCGACGAGGAGTTGTTCCCCCGCTGTCCTGACAGCAATCGACCACCCCACGTTCCTGTTGGAGAGGAATTTCCAGAACGTGATGACCCAGTGAATCCACAAGATCCACCACAGGTAGACGGAGAAGATTGGCTATATGGAGATAATCCTTTTCCATTTCCCATGCCATCTGATCCGGCTCCACCACCTCCCGTACAGGGAAATGATGATGGTGACGACGGTCATAATCGTCAGGACCCACCGCCAGAGCGTCGGGATGAACCTCAGAGGACTCGTAGAAGTAGAATTCCACGACCAAGTCGGGAAGCTTCACCAGCTCCTGAGCCTCGAAGGTCTTCACGCCAGCGGAATGTGCCTACACGTCCAGGAAACGTCTATGGGGAAAAGCGTACCCCTACGGATATAGTCCGTGACATTCAGAACAGCAGAGGATGGAAGCGGTATGTTGGTGAAGATAAGGGTAGCTCCCAATCTCAACCATCAACCGGTGCTGATGCAGGGGTTCCCGGCCCTAGCTCGCAACCAGATTCCTCGAACGCGGGTGCTTCTGATGATCTAGACGAGGATGCACGCATGGAGAAGCTATGCCGGGAAGGGGGAGTAGAGCTCATCACGGCGCTGCTGTCGAAAGCGGTCCCAAATGAGAACCTACCTGACACGTCCAAAATTCGCGATTGGACGTTCCGCGATATCAAGCGGTTGCCTTCTGAACAACAGAAAGGTTGGATTGATGCTTGCCGCGACGAGTTAGAGGCACTTCGTCAGCGCAAGGTCTATTCCCTTGTGGACCGCCCGAAAGGACGGAAGGTTATCAGATGTCGCTGGGTCTTTGACCAAAAATCTGATGGCCGAAAACGTGCCCGCCTAGTTGCCAAGGGTTTCAGTCAAGTCGAAGGAGTTGACTATGACGAGATATTCTCTCCTGTTGTCAGGTATGAGACGTTCCGGTTGGTCATGGCGCTTGCAGCGCTCAATGATTGGCATTGGTCTGGACTCGACGTCAGTAAGGCTTTTCTCTACGGAGAGCTTGACGAAGAGGTCTACATGGAACAACCCGAAGGCTTTGTGGCGAGAGGCCAAGAGCGCAAAGTCATGCGCTTGCACAAGGCAATCTATGGACTCAAACAAGCTGCTTTAGCATGGTGGAAAGCGCTGACCAAGTCCACAAAAGCCATGGGCTGGATCCGACTGACATCGGATGCCGGCGTGTTCTTCTACAAGGACTCTGATGGCAGCATAGCCGTCATAATAGTCTATGTGGATGATGCACTGTTCTTCTCCAAGAACAAGAAGCTCCTCGCCTTTCTCAAGGCTGAGTTCAACAAGCGATGGGAATGCCGCAATTCTGAAGATACTCCAGAGTTCTTGCGCGTGCGCCTCAGTAGAGTAGGATCTTCGATCAAGATTGATCAGATTCCTTATCTCGACAAGGTGCTAGAGCGCTTTGGGATGCAGAACGCCAAGTTCGCAGCGACCCCTCTACCGGCTGGATATGTTCCAATGCCAAATGAGGATGAAGTCGATCCAGAGCTCAGGAAGAAATTCCAATCAGTCATTGGATCTCTTCTCTTCATCATGCTAGGCACACGTCCTGACATTGCATTTGCTGTGACCAAATTGTCACAATTTGCTGCCAATCCGTCCCAAGACCACCTCCATAAAGCGCTGTATATCTGTCGCTATTTGGCTGGAACTAGGAATTATTCGCTCATTTTCAATGGTGCGACGGATAGAGGGCTAATTGCATTTAGCGATTCAGACTGGGCTGCTGATCCAATCAAGAGGAGGTCTACCACTGGTTTCTTCACGAAATTGGCAGATGGGATTATTTGCTGGCAGTCTAGACTTCAGCGCACAGTCGCGCAGTCTTCGACCGAAGCAGAGTACATGGCGATTTCAGATTGTAGTCGCCAGGTGATGTGGCTGAAGAGCGTCCTTTCGGAACTCCAGTTCAAACTCACCATCCCAGTACCCATTTGCGGTGACAATCAGGGTGCACTCTTCAGTGGCAGCAATGCCTACCGAGACCGCAGGATGAAACACATAGACATCCGCTATCACTACATTCGTGAGCGAGTCGAGGAAGAAGAGGTTGAACTGTTCTTTATTCCGGGCAGTGAGAATCCTGCAGATATGTTCACCAAGAACCTAGGACGCGTCAAGTTCGAGAAGTTCAGATCTCAACTAGGACTTGAGTTCAACTCGTCCTGAAGGAATGGCCGATGAAGATTCGCTTTCAAACACTATCCCGTGGTTTTCAGCGTGGGGGAGTGTTGATCAAATATCATCTGTCAAGATGGATGTCGTGATACATATCTATGGCTCCATCACGTGTCATCTAGAGTCATATCGACTCGTCCCAAATAGACACAAATGGCCCCCTGTATCATATATAAGGAGGGCTCTATTACCCTTTAATACAAGTCTCTTGACTACTCCCGCATAGTGCCCACACTAAGCTCTCAACTCACACAGGTGGGTTGCTAGACGCTCTCCCCAGTGCTCAACAGTCCGGGGAAAAGCTTCCTAATACAAAGAGACGACGTGCTACTTATACTGTCTACGACGCTGCTTAGTAAAGCCCTTTACAACTGCATAGTAGCTACGCTATCTAAGATCGGTTGCCTTTTAGGGTAATTGAAAAGTTCGAACGATCGGACAGGTCCTGAGTGATCAGGACCCCGCTCCATCGTCCATATGATACTTTTGATGTGGGCCAACTCACCGCGTCATACTTTTGGAATACGACGTGCTGGATTGGCCAACGGGTATGTCTTGGCATGTGAGACCAACGTGGGCGCCCCAAGAAGCCGTATGGCTCTAGGCACGCCAATCGTCTCCCACATGGCTCGGTTCACGGATCTAGCCGTATCGATTTTAGTGTGTTTGAGTATGGGCGCGACTCGCCGTGACACTTGGAAGTGTCACCGCGACGCGTCCACAATGTCCCGTGATCGAATGGATCCTGACATGTGACAAGTCGTCGTCGTGGCATGATCTGAGGAAACGTCCAACTCAAAACCGGGAGTTGCCGCGACAAGATGGTTTAAGTCTTGTAACGCCAAGTCCTGTCCAGTAGTAGTTCTATTATTGAGAACGTCGCGCATTGCTCAGCCCTTCAGCCCAAGTTCCCATCTGCAGAGAATGACCCTTTTTGAGAAGTCGACGCAACGACATATCCCTTTTTGGGGAATGGTCGCGGTCCAAGCGTTCGTCACTAATGGCCCTGAGCCTGGTGTAGACTCATAAGACCAGTTCCACAGTAGTGGTCTGACTGCCTTGCTATCGTCGACACTATCCACAGTCGTCGACTGGGCAGTAGACCCATAAGTCCTACTGAGCGCAACACTGTTAACCGCGACACGATACACCGAGTGGTTCAAGAGTAAACTCTGTAAAAAGCGCAAAAATACGCCCTTACAGAGCTGGTGCAGAGCGCGTCTGGTAGCCAGCCTATCACCGCGCAGTGGAGATACGACCAGTAGCGATCACCTATAAGACAGAGTCTCAGCGAGTGTAGAGACACAGGAGCTATATCATTAGCTGTACCTATAAGACAGAGTCTATGGTACAAGTCATAAGTAAGGTCATTAGATCGTAAGGGAGAATGCATACCTCAGCGAGTGTAGAGACACAGGAGCTGAGGATATGGAGCGTATAGTACTAGGTTTATATACCAGTCTGGAGCAGATATCATGATGTCATAGTGGAGTAATGATATCATAGATGAGTAATGGATGACGCAATAATGATGTCAGGTATGAGGTCATTGTGGAGCGAGCCAAAGTAATCTAAGAATACTACTTATGATGTCATGTCTACATACTGTGATAGTTGCTAATACAAACAAGCTTCAACAGATTGATTGGTGGGCCGCCCCTCCGCATGCCTCAATTCTCTTCCCAAGTGTTCGTGTCATGGATCCAGCGCTGTGGGACTCACTACCCAAAACTACAAATGGGGGAGAAGCCCTGCACTCCAAGCTGTATGGCGTTGTTGGAGGATCGCATGCGATTTTCCCTGGAATCAAAGCGCTCATAGCATTATTCCAAAGCTTCGAAAATCGATTCCGAGGAGCAGACGGTAAGTTATTCTCTATCTTATCTATCATGGGGCTGATTTAAAACAGCGGGGCTGCGAATTCGTCACGGAGATGGTCAGCGATGGAAGAGGACAGCAGACAAGTTCGGAATCACCAACTACAGGCGGCATTACGGTCGAAGTAGCCATGCAAGAACTGATGGACGGGCACCAGACACAAGTCGTGCACTTCTGAAGAACAAAACGCGCCATTTGCTTTCAAAGAAACCCTCAAGACGCCCAAAATCTGCCCTCAAATCGCTTAATACATCACAGAACGTGGTCGCTGACCGGTTGAGTGCGCCTCAGTCAGTTTCTGCGTTACCTGGAAACCATTCATCGGTTCTTGTCTTTTTTGAGATGCAAACAGCAGATCTGATATTCCCATAGCTCCTGCTTCTCCAGTCTTATAGCTGGATCAATAATTCGTGTTTCCTTGACGCTACAATGGAAGCCTATGCTCGTGCTTTCATGTCCCTTTCCACTGGTTCACGTCACGATTTGATGCGTAGAATTCAAGTGCTTGCTGGAGGGACAGGTTTGGAGCAGCTTTTCACTCATTTCTCTGCCCGTGCGTCTTTGTATGAAACATTGGAGCCCGTCCCGCCACTCGATTTAGCTCTGAAGAGTTTCGAGGACTGTCTGAAGGCTGGGCAAAGTGCAGCTTTCACCTCGATGGAGACGAATTGGGCAATTGGTCACTGGAGACCTGGCGATGGATTCTGTGCTAGAACGTGGATTAGCAAAGCTGTTTTCCAGGCTGGTTCCAGCATTTTTCTCTAGAAAAGCAGTGCTCACTAACGTGTTTCAGGCTGAAATTCCTCCCACTGTTCAGCATTATTTCGGGATCACTCATAGACCCCACTGGACCTGCGCATCGGGCCATTCACAAACTGCGCCAGCAATTACAGTCCCTGAGGCGATTGTTTATGGGCCAGATCTCGTTCATCTCAACCACGTGCATCCTGAACAGGAAAGCCCGACCCTCGAGCAGTTGCTGACATTCATGGTACCTCGCCGAAGCGGCAAGAGTGTACCTTTGCATCGGTCACCAAATCTTACCTGTGCACGCTCAAGCTGCAAACTGCCCTCTTCTGTTACATCAGTCACGACGCATTACCCTCTCTTCCTCCGTGTTCGTCCTTTGTACGACAGTGCAACTTCTGCCGATGTGCAGATTCCCAGGGATGTTTCCTGGTCGAGAGAAATGCGGATCCAAGATATTGAATATCAGCTTGTGGCGGTGGTGAAGTTCATTCCGGGCGTCGACGGAAATCTGGGACATTACACTGCAAAGCTTCGGGTCAAAAACAAGACTTATCTGTACGACGACACAAAGGATGGTGGCCGACTGCATTATTTAGGGGCCCTTGACGTTCTGGAACAGCATGATGATCAGGTTTCCTACCTGCTGTTCACACGTCAAACGAAATCATTTGTATGTGAATTTGTTCGATCCAATTGCTGTCTAACATTTGGTTTTTCAGCTCCGAACTTGGAATCTCGAAGAACTCGAACATAACAGCCAATTGATCCGAATTCCAAGCCCTGTTCCTGTGATGGTCATTCCTGACACACCCGACGCTCCACCGCATGCTGAGCTCGATGCAAAAGGAGAGGATTACCCCGAACCTCCGTCCAAGATTTCTGCTATGTCTCTCAGTCCTCCTCGACTAAAGTCGCCCTCTCCTGATCTCTCACAAAATTCATCAATTCCCGAGTCCGAGGTCACAATGGACTTGCACTGTGAAGGATGCCAGACGAAGATGGCCGACACACGGGGCAATGAGCCTCACGTGCAGTGCGCCTTGTGCAAGCAGTGGTCTCACACTCGTTGCATTCCTGATATCGATTTTGCCCTAGTACCCAACCCTAGTGGTAGGAATAAGCCTTCGCGCATGGATCTACCCACAATTCCATATGCCTTCCGGGCCAGTTCTACCCACGGGCTGTGGGTAGAACCAGGACATTTGGGTTTGGTTTCAGTGGGAATTGAACTGATGACCTTCTAAAAAAGAAATCCTTAACCAATGCATTATCACACTGGGCCAAACTGGCTTTATGTTAAAAGCATTGTCCCTTGACAAGATGTGACGATAGGCCTAACTGTCTTAAACAAACTGCGCCCCTCTGGGCGCGGAGGTTAGCGGTTCGGGCTCGGGTTCGGGTTGGGGCTAAAGGTTAGTCCCCAAAGATGTCATTTTCTCTCAGTAATGGTTGGGAGAAGGTAGCAAAAAAAAATAAGACCTGATATAGGCTCAGTTAGGGTTGGTTAGACTCAGAAATATGTTTATTGGGTTGTTAGGGTTTGAAATAACCAATACTAGGATAAAGCTTTCCCTCCACTTAGGGTAAGCCGCTTGCGGGTTACCCTAAGTAGAGGGAAAAAGTGGGAACCCTATATCGGCTGTTTAGCTCAGTCTGTTCATGCACTGAATTTGAATCATTTTTACAAGGTCAGTAGTTCAATCCTCACTGAAACCGATATGAAATTTTCTGGTTCTACCCAGTGGACGGGTAGAACCGGCCCCGAAGGCATCTGAAATTCTGGGTAGATCCACGACAAAAAGCCTTTAGATTACGGTATAGGCTCTAGTACCCCAGTCCGCAGAGTTCGTCTGCGCGTTCTGTGAGCCTTGGAAGGTGAACAACGTGCTAGTTCTTCCCATTAATTCCGATGAAACAGGGACGAGCCAAATGTGGTTTCCTGCCCTGCTTGTGGCGCATCATCGAAGGGCGGATACCATTGGAGGACCGGGCGAGTTTGAGTTCCGGTGGATCGACACAATCGCCGGTGGAACGTTCAAGATCCACAATGAAGATGTAGAGATCTCTCCGTCGGCTGCGTTCTTTCGTTCTCGTGAGGAGATATTCGATGCTGAAACGACCCGGATCCATCCCAGTAAGGTGTGCGCAACTTACTGAATCAAACATCCAACCACTCCTGAAGTTGAATGCAGATTGGAAAGATTCGGCGGCCTGCATTCCTAAACCGATCCACCGGCCAATCGATTGATAGTAGCGTCCGAAGTCTTTTTGACGCTGCGGTTCCTACTATCGCAGCAGTCTTGAAGAAAATGGATTCGAAACTCACCATCGTCAAGGAGTACAAGAAATTCGTGGCGAATCAGTCGGGAATACGCCACAGATCAATTTATGATCACGCTTCGTGGCTGGACTCGCTCCGCCTTCATCTCCCCCCAGAGTTTGACGAGGCAATTGTGCAACCACTGGCCAAGCTACTTGCACACAAAGATCTGGAGTCAGTGGAACTTCGGACAAGGACGGATCGCGTGGAAAGCATCGGCCAAGTACTCCTTGCGCTTCTATACATCCAACACAACCTCGGGGAGGCTTACGACCTCAGTGGTCATCTACTGACCGACTTCAAGCTGAATCGGGTATGCGTTGGGCGATTCAGTGACGAGAGCGTCCTCCGTGCCATGTTTCTTCAGTCCGAAGGCGATCCAGTCACAATTGAAGAATATCAACGACTGGAAGCGAAGTTCGTCATGGAGCACTCCATTTATGACGCCGATTTCCGTCCCCGAATCTGGGAACGAGTGGGAAATGCAGAGAAGCGTCCGCCTTCGATTTTTGTTATCCTCCCGGCCCCGAAGCGAAGCAGATCGGTTCCCGACAATGAGGACGAAGATGGAACATCTATTCGGAAGCGCCTCAGACCACATCCACGCCCCCGCAAACGGTACAACCACTGAACTCGAGCTCATATTTCTGTTTGATCACTCAGCGGTCCGGAGATGGAGCGAGGGGCGAGGGATCAAGAATTTAGTCCATTTTTAGGCTAGCTAGACCAGGATAAATGAAGGACTATGCTATAGTACGAGTTTCCGAACATATACTTCTGAATTAAAAAAATATCAGTCCTGGACGTCCACGACTGCCGTGAGAGTGACCCCATCATCGGCTAAAAATTGTTGGCGCATCACAGCGAGTAGCCGCAGTAACATTGTAATATTACATGCTTGACCCTCAAGTGCTAAAATGAATACTGTGGAACTCGCCTAGAGCCTATGCGGCACTCCATAAAGCTCTGCGGCGCATGAGAACTATCCTGCGGCGCGTGACAACTATCCTGCGGCGCGTGACAAAAATCCTGCGGCACTCCAGGCTCGAACCTGCGGCACTCCAAATGTTATGCGGCCCTCCAGCGACACTCCGCGGCACTTTCATGTAGCCCGGTACCTGTTAGGTACCCTCAGAGCTACGTCTGAGGGTACCCAGTAGGACCCCCGCGGGGGTGCAACCGGGTGATGGCGGTGGTAACTGAGGTGGGCGGCGATGCGGTGTGGCCAATAAAGTGCGCAAAATTGCCAGGGCAGTCAATATCAATGGCAAAAATAGTGTATAACCACCATACAATTCTCGGGGGACAAGTTGACCTTGTTCCTTCTGACGGTTGTCTGCTTAAGGTGATGTTTTCTGCACTTTTCGGCCACATGTCGCAGCAGTGTAACAGCGACAGGGCCCCGCACAGGCATCATTAACATAGCAAAAGGTTCCCTGAGTGAAACCTCGGTACTCCGGCGTTGAACGAGTACCCAATCGTTGCTGACATCGTGGAGAATAGTGAGATATGAGTCATATGACCACCATTCCAATAAGGAATCGGCCCGCACGCTCCCAAAATCAGTGACAGATCACGTCGCAAACATGATCAACAGTAGCTATAGGCTGGTGCTCTCGTCTACAAGGGCATTCTGAATCGCTCTCTCATCCTAGAACAAAAGAATGTCCGAAAACTCCCTATTTCTGCTTCGAAACATGAAATGGCCAACTAGCTAGGGTGGCCAATTACCCAGTCGGGTATAGTCACCCCAGGGACCTCCAATTATTACGTAAAATGGCTTCGAGGCCCCCTCCGGAGGCCATCAAACCACCCCCTACCCCCCTGATCGGAGGCCATCCTGGAGGCGCCTTCCTAATTGGGACGCTGCCTGGCCATTTGTCCACCGCTTGCATGGTATGCTAGGGATCAGCCTGAGTGCTGATATATGCTGTAGTAGTCATTATAAAGCCTCAGACAATGTCTGACCTCTCAAAAGCATGTATTTCTTGCTTGCAAATGGCAGACCACTGGGTGCACACAATTTGGGATCTGAGTACGTGAGCACTCCTCAGGTGCATAGAGCAACAGTAGATGTATTAATTCGAGATTGAGCATGAGGTATCTGTGCCCACACGCAAAAATGAGATGTTGCTGAAGGGATGGTTTATGGCCTCCACGACCTCCCAGGTGCAGAAAAAAAGGTGTTGGGTAGCCCACAGGCCCTTGAATTCCGCTTCAATAGATCAATTAGATGCTTATGCTCTGTCAAAACAACAGCCCAGCATATAAATTGGATGCTGGAGCAGTGGCAGAACAAGCCTCCACCGCCTCCAGGGCCGGGGATCAAAAGCGGTTACTGTAGATTCAGCCACACAAACTGTGTTCATGACATTATTTATCTTCATTGAGATGCACAGGATCCTTTAGAGCGATAGCTCAACATGTGAATTGGATGCTAGAGCAGATTACAGAAAAGCTCTCCACAGCCTCCACAGCCGGGGACTGAAAGCAGTTTCTTTGGATTTAGTGGTAGAAACTATGTGTTCAATGTCAGGTGTCTTATTTGAATGCCAAGGGTCCTCTATGGAGACAGCTCAGCATATGAATCAGATGCTGGAGCGAATGGCAGAACTGGCCTCCACCGCCTCCACAGGTTATTACTTGAAGAGTTGGGATGAGATGACAATGTAACAGACAGATATTCTCCTGGCTGACCACATTCTGTCATTTCTACCTCTAAATGCAAGTTGAATTGCTGCAGAATGTTAAAATGAGAGAATGGGGGACCCTGGAGGCGCTGGAGGCACATGCAAGATCCAATCAATATCATCAATATCATCAATGCCATCAATAGCATCAATAGCATCACCAATCATTGGTAGATTGATCAGCCAATCAGATGATGAATAAACATCGAACATCTAGTATATTCATTCCTGAGAGACACAGACTACATGTATGCTCATACTGAAAGTGGATTAGTGGTCCCAGGACATGCCCCAATGACATATTACATCCTTGTCTGAAGAACATATCATTGAAATTCGGAGTTTGCAAATGAACTGAAAGTCAACTGAAGATGAGTGGTACAGTGGAGTACTTTCAGCTCATTTGCCGAATCCCATTTTTAATCATATGTTCTTCAGACAAGGATGTAATATGTCATTGGGGCATGTCCTGGGACCACTAATCCACTTTCAGTATGAGCATACATGTAGTCTGTGTCTCTCAGGAATGAATATACTAGATGTTCGATGTTTATTCATCATCTGATTGGCTGATCAATCTACCAATGATTGGTGATGCTATTGATGCTATTGATGGCATTGATGATATTGATGATATTGATTGGATCTTGCATGTGCCTCCAGCGCCTCCAGGGTCCCCCATTCTCTCATTTTAACATTCTGCAGCAATTCAACTTGCATTTAGAGGTAGAAATGACAGAATGTGGTCAGCCAGGAGAATATCTGTCTGTTACATTGTCATCTCATCCCAACTCTTCAAGTAATAACCTGTGGAGGCGGTGGAGGCCAGTTCTGCCATTCGCTCCAGCATCTGATTCATATGCTGAGCTGTCTCCATAGAGGACCCTTGGCATTCAAATAAGACACCTGACATTGAACACATAGTTTCTACCACTAAATCCAAAGAAACTGCTTTCAGTCCCCGGCTGTGGAGGCTGTGGAGAGCTTTTCTGTAATCTGCTCTAGCATCCAATTCACATGTTGAGCTATCGCTCTAAAGGATCCTGTGCATCTCAATGAAGATAAATAATGTCATGAACACAGTTTGTGTGGCTGAATCTACAGTAACCGCTTTTGATCCCCGGCCCTGGAGGCGGTGGAGGCTTGTTCTGCCACTGCTCCAGCATCCAATTTATATGCTGGGCTGTTGTTTTGACAGAGCATAAGCATCTAATTGATCTATTGAAGCGGAATTCAAGGGCCTGTGGGCTACCCAACACCTTTTTTTCTGCACCTGGGAGGTCGTGGAGGCCATAAACCATCCCTTCAGCAACATCTCATTTTTGCGTGTGGGCACAGATACCTCATGCTCAATCTCGAATTAATACATCTACTGTTGCTCTATGCACCTGAGGAGTGCTCACGTACTCAGATCCCAAATTGTGTGCACCCAGTGGTCTGCCATTTGCAAGCAAGAAATACATGCTTTTGAGAGGTCAGACATTGTCTGAGGCTTTATAATGACTACTACAGCATATATCAGCACTCAGGCTGATCCCTAGCATACCATGCAAGCGGTGGACAAATGGCCAGGCAGCGTCCCAATTAGGAAGGCGCCTCCAGGATGGCCTCCGATCAGGGGGGGTAGGGGGTGGTTTGATGGCCTCCGGAGGGGGCCTCGAAGCCATTTTACGTAATAATTGGAGGTCCCTGGGGTGGGTATAGTACCTTTGGATTAATTCCGAGTGCAAGCTTCACGATTTTCTCACGCTTATCAAATTTGAGCGCCTTATTGGACCCCCACTGTACATCTGGGCCAGGCCACAGAAGGACGTACACCTCAGTGACCAGGGGGCACCTCCACGTGAAGTCTGTGTACTCTGACGTAATCTTCTCCCGAGCTCTTGGCGAAACGCACTTCTGATTCTGGCTGACCGTGGGGAGCGAGACCGCCTTGAGGCCAGCGCGAAGTCAGATGGGTGTCGTGCGCACGGGGTCAGCTGGTCTGCGTCGTGGTGCCCACGCACGGCCCGTCGCGGGACCTGCGCACCATAAATGTGCGCGCGACCCTGGGTGAAGAAGGCAGACCGTTGATGGCCTACTACTACTACCCTCTGCTGCTGCTCGTGGCTCAGTTGTGCAGGGCGGAGCTCGTGGCGCCGAACGCGCTGAATCTGCGGATCTCGTCGAATGTGACGCACGAGGCGAGTGTCTTCCCTTCGAGCCTGGGAGTCGCGGAAGAAATAACTGACACCGGTGGCAACGCACACAGATCCCGTCGACGCTTTATGGGTACATGTGGGAGGTGCGTCGATCTCGTGGGGCCCTCCCGGAGAAATGGGATGTTGATGATTGGGGTGTCAGGATATCAACCACAGTGGCGACGGAGGTTTATACGGTACTTCCCGTGTTCATCATGAGGGCTGGCTTGTGGATCATATGCGCCCCCAGCCGAACTTCTGCAGAACCGAGCGTTCCAAGCCGTGATTCCGGGGACCCAGAACGCGTAAGTCACGTGTGTGCGCGCGCCAAGGCATCGAGCGCTGACCGTCGCTGTACACCCCCCTCCCCCCTTGCGCAGGCTGACAGCGTGGCAGCCGTTCAACGGCGCGCGGCTGGCCGTCACAGCCAAGACGTCGGGCGTATCGGCCGCGCTGCCGCACAGCCTGGAGGTGCAGATCCCGAAGACCGTCGCCGGGCCGATCGGGTTCGAGAACACAGGCTACTGGGGGATCAAGGTCCAGAGCGGGTGGACGTACACGGGCTCGTTCTACGCCAAGGCGCCTGCGTTCGCAGGGCCCATCACCGTGTCGCTCAAGTCGGCCGCAGGGACCGTCTTCGCGTCCACGAGTGAGTCGTCTGACTGACTACCCACCCTTCCCCCATCGGCCCTTGGCCCGAAAACTCAAGGTTACCCGAATCTGAATCCCGCTCATGTACCTGCGACAGCACTCACGGATGT